AAAAATGTTGATGGGAGATTTTTTTGTGTTATGGAGTTGACTGTTATAAATGAAGAGGTGTTTCAAAGCAGATTATTAAGAGATCTTGACCAAGAATATTCACATCTAAGAAGTGAAAATCAACGTATGTTAGAAGAAGTATGCAAAATAAAGTTATCTCTTGAAGGAAAAAAAAATATTGAAAAAGAGTTTGAAGATGCTAAGAAAAGAATTGAAGAATTAGAACAAATCATTAAAGAACTTAACTTGAGAAATCAAACAAGTAGTATTAGTGAAGACAATAAAGTTACTCGTAAATCAATGCTTAAATTAAAGAAAATGATGTCTTCTGTAATGGAAAATACTGCCCCTCTTATTAATATTGGTTCCGTTCAACCAACTAAACAACCTGAACATTGTCTAAGAAATACTATTAATGGAAGACATTCAGTAATGTGTCAACCAATGAACCAAATGATTAAAACAGGGTTTGATCGTAGTTCTATAAGAAGGTCGGAAGCAAGCAGATTTTTAGGTACTCAAAAGAAAAGCCAAGATAAGGGTATTACATTGGTCGAACAAGAAAATATTGAAAACTTTATATTAAATCAAAATAAACTTTCTCCAATTAAATTAGGTACTAACGATGATAAGAAAAAAGAAGAACAAAATCATAGTATTAATGAATGTAATCAAAAGATGCAAATAAATGAAGAGTTTAATCAAGTTACAACAACTCAACTTCAAAATAAACCTGAAAAAGAAATTCAAAAAGAAAGAGTATTTGGATGTGGTAAAATTATAACGGTAGTTGTCCTTCTTGCTATGGCTTGTTTTATTTCACTGGTTTTATCAGTTGATTGAATGATTATTATTTTTGATTATAATATTTATTTTAGTTAGAAAGATTCTAATGCACAATGAGTCAATTATCAATAATTTTTATATCCATTTTACTTATTAAAGGTCTTCTTTCATTTCTTATGTTTGGTAATCCTTGAGAAATAAACAAATCAGGTTGTGAATTTGGGACAATGATTTTATGAAATTTTAAATTAGGGTAATCTTTTTGGTTCAATGGAAAAGAAATAGGAGGAATTAATTGAAGGTACTTGATAAGTTTAGGCACAGAACTCCAATTAACCAATTTACAAGATTTGAAATACATCCCTTCAAGAAGACTTTCATTTGGATTTTGAATAGTCACTATTGAAGAAAAACAATATAATTCTTTTAACTTAGATGGTACGATTATTGTGACATTTGATGAATTTGATATTCCTAAGATATTGAGAAGAGAAAGGTTTTTTAAGTTAAGAAGTTCATTGTTTGAATAATTTTTGATAGAGAGATAGGTTATTGTAGTTGGAATTTTTGTTATATCAATACCAGAATCATTTGATAATTGTTGTAATTGCATTTTATTATGAAAAATAAATCCTTTGAAAGGAGTTTCTTCCATATTCTTCATTCCAAGTATTTGTAATGAGACAAGTGAACTTGGAAGAAAACAAGATTTAGTTTTACAATTTCTACAAATGATTGATGTCAAAGAAGATGGGAGGTCAGTTGAATTTAGTCCAATCCTACATTGAGATAATCTCATTTTATTTAATCTTGTTAGTACTGTTAAAATATTCGTAACACTACAGTTTGTAAGGTGCATTGCTTTCATGTTTTTCAATTTAGTCAGTTCAGAAGGAAGTTTGTCATCAATATCAGTAATAAGTTTTAAAGTATTAACACAATTATTATCGGGAATAGTCCAATGAGGAACATTTTCAAGTTTAAGACCTATAATATATGAAGGAATTATAATAGATTCTGCGACATCAGATAAATATAAATAAATTATAGAATTAGGAATATTTTTTAGAGAACAACCATCATATATTTTTAGTGAAGAAGGATAATAGTATTGTTGTTTTGGTTTAAATTGTTGTCTTATTTGTATAATATTAGTAAATGATGATAGATCAACAATTTTTTCATTTTCATTATAGAGCCAAGACAACTCAATACTATAGGGATAATAAAGTTTCATTGCTTCATTTATATTTTTCTTTCTTGAAGAATATAAGAAGGAGTCTTGATAATTAACTATTGCCTCTTTTTTTTCAATCCATTCATTACAACAAACAATAACCTTTTTAGATAATATTTGTTTATTAAGAATATTAATACCATTAATTTTTTTTGTTTCAATTATAAATTTTTTTATTTCATAATCATCTATTTGGTTAATAAAAGCTTCTATATTCTGAGTTAGATTAACATAGACCCAATCAAATTTTTGATTCTTTTCTGTGAAGAATTGAAACAAATTTAATTTAACATTAATAGATATAAGTTTAATTCTTCTCAATTGTGTGAATTCTTTAAAATCAATACAAATAGGTTTTTTAATAATAACTCTTAATTCAA